TTTTGCTGCAGTTTGGCTGGGACCGGGTTCAAACCTGCCACTCTCGGTATATGGGACCAGCACCCTACTCACTGAGCCATAGGTGCCATCCCATACAATTTAAAAAACAGCTTTTTCACAGTGATGAAGGGAGGAGAAAGAAGAGACCCCGTTCTGCCCGATGCTCCTCTCAAAAGGGACCCAAATAAAATAGATGGCTTATCTGGGTGAGGTTGCAGAGCTAAAAATGGACTGATTAGCACAAAAGGGACTCTCCCATCTCATGCTTAAGGTTCCTCTGCTCGAACCTTACCAGTTTGTTAAGGTCATGTTAAGATCTACATCCTCCAGAAGGTTTCAACTCTCTTTTTGTTGACCACCGATAGCATTTCTTGCACGCAAAAATTTTGGCAATTTGTTCATGTTAAATTGAGTAGTCTCATATTGTTCTCTAATCTTTCCTGTGTCTGTTACCGCCTGAGAACAATTATAAGTTCTTAGAAGGTGCCTGAGATAGGGCTTGACACATAGTCAAGTCTCCAAAAATATGTGTTAAATTAATAGCTCCTGGACAGCTACCTCTCTCTGTGCCCACGTGTCTTTGCAGCGTGTTCTGCTTACCTTTAGAAGCTTCTCTTGCATCTCAAGGGCTTTTGCTTCCCTCTGTTCTATCAATCGGGAAAGAGTACGCAGGGCAGCAGCCCGGGTTGGAATCTGAGGATCATAAGCTGATAACAGAACCTCTTGGAGCTGTTCTGTGGTTGTACTCGCAGATTTCTGGTTTGCTGTAGTGCTGGGCTTATTAATCCCCTCAGGAATGAGTGGAACCCTGGATGGCAGGACTGTTTGGGGGGATTCCTCATGGCTTTGCTGCTGTTTGAGGTGGCTATGAGCTCCATCAGTGTATCCTCCATGACTAGCTTGCGGCTGCTCTTTTATTTTTCCTTCTGGATCTTTTTTGTTCAAGGTACCATGGGCAGCCATGCTGACAGCCTCTGTGGCAAAGGCTCCATGGGTAGAGATGGTGATACGGAGATCAGCAGCGAGTTCTTGGATGACGGGGTCAGGGTGTGTGTTGGATACCTTTTCCAACAGAGGCAGCAACTGCTTCAGGACAGCAAAATCACTTGATTTCAACTACAAAATAAAATTTAAAAATGTCAAACTCAAATTAACATAGCAAATGTTGACAGGACCTGAGTACTATGTACCAGAAAATATATCTGCAGAAAAAGGGACAGGGATCAAATCTCGTTCATGGTGTAATCAGCATATTGCCTGGGTCTAGCACTCATTAACTATTTGTTGAGTAATAAGAGCTGGCATTTATTGAATACTTATGAACACTTACCATGTACAGGTTCTTTTCTAAGTTAAAACACATGTATACCCATATTCAAATCCCTATGATATAATTACAATTTTTTTTTGAGACAGCGTCTCACTCTGTCACCCTAGGCTAGAGTGCTGTCGCATCATAGCTTACAGCAACCTCAAACTCTTGGCCTAAAGCAATCCTCTTGTTTCAGCCGCCCAAGTAACTGACACTAGAGGCACCTGCCACAACACCCAGCTAGTTTTTCTATTTTTAGTAGAGGCAGGGTCTCACTCTTTCTCAGGCTGGTCTCAAAATCCTGCGCTCAAGCAATCCTCCCACCTCTGCCTCCTGAAGTACTAGGATTATAGGTGTGAGCCACTAGGCCTGGCCAGGATTATGACTATCGATTACATTAACACATTAAATACCACACTAGAAAAAAAAATTTTTCCCCCTTGGGGCTACTAGTAGGTCAAGATAAGTCAAGAGATGTGTGAGTTATATATGCTTCATGAAACCCTGGGCTCAAAACTAGCATAAGTTAAATATAACTCACATGGCAGTTAATGTGTTAAACATGGGGAAGTTGAGGCAAAGACCAGTTAAGTAATATGTCCAAGATGTGAATAAGATATGAACTCAAGAAATGAGGATCAAAACCTCCTACCCAACACTCTACATAATCTCACTCAAAAGAACAAAGCTGTTCAAGATCAAGTGCACCAAAAATCTGGAAAGGATTAGGCTGACAATTGGCAAGAGGGGATTTCTCTGGGAAAGTGGGAGTTAAAATTAGCCAACATTTTATTCTCTGCAGAAGCTTTGTTTGAATAACATCATACGCAATACCAAGAAAGGGGCATGTGTCGTTAATGACATGTAAGAATCAATGGTAATATTTTTCTGTTTGAAAATAGTAGAGAAATTATCACAGGAGGCTTCGTCAGGCCCTGAAACTTTTGAAAACCTCAGGGGTCTTAGATTCTTTTTAAAACTAGGCAGAGTATTTACTACTTAATGATTCACTCACTCCATTATCCAACCAACCTACCAATTAAGCAGCTAACCATTTTAAAGAAACTATTTAATGTTCTCATTCTGCTCTATAAATCAGAATTGTTATTGTTCCCTGCACCTATCTTTCTTTTTTTTTTTTTTTTTTTGAGACAGAGCCTCAAGCTGTCCCCCTGGGTAGAGTGCCGTGGCACTACAGCTCACAGCAACCTCCAACTCCTGGGCTCAAGCGAGTCTCCTGCCTCCGCCTCCCAAGTAGCTGGGACCACAGGCGCCCGCCACAACGCCCGGCTATTTTTTGGTTGCAGCCGTCATTGTTGTTTGGCGGGTCCGGGCTGGGGATTCAAACCCGCCACCTTAGGTGTACGTGGCTGGCGCCCTAGCTGGTTGAGCTATAGGCACCGAGCCCTATCTTTCAAGTAAAGGCAAATTTGAGGCATATGTCAGGTTTGTACCCACAGCATTTCACCACATCCAGATTTTTTGTTTACATATTTAGAAACTAATGCAAAATCAATAGAAAGTAGAATTTCCAGCTTTGTAACATGTAAGTTTATTTTCACGTGTAAAGTGATAGACATTCTGATGTTACTATATCTTAAAAGAAGAAAAGAATATGTATGTGCAGAGTCAAGGTTTTACTCCATGTGGCATGGAAAAAGACTTTTAGAACAGTTTTACTAGTGTCATCATTGTGCTAAGCTTCATTCATTGCCTTGGTTGTATTGTGGACTTTTCCCTTTTTAAGCATCTGAAATGAGAATATCTGTTTCTATCTACAGTCTATTTGCCCTATTTTTCATTTCTATTACATGTAACAATTTCCTCTTAAAAAATACCAGGACAAATAGATCAATGGAACAGAACAGAAAGCCTAGAAATAGACTCACATAAATACAGTCAACTGAACTTTGACAAAGGAGCAAAGGCATTCCAATGGAAAAAAGACAATCTTTTCAACAAATGGTGAGGGAACAATTGGCATCTCACAAAAATGAATCTAGACACAGACCTTATACCTTTCACAAATATTAACTCAAAATGGATCACAGACTTAACTGCAAGATACAAAACTATAAAATGCCTACAAGTTCAGTAGAAAATCTGGATGACCTTGAACATGGTGATGACTTTTTTTTTTTTTTGAAGATAAGAGTTCCATTGTGTTGCCCAGGCTGGTTAGATAGTAAGTTGTTTTGAAAGTCTCCAAGCTCTCAATTTGCTTAAGAACTGAAGGTTGAACTGATAGGACAGGGATTCAGGATGGTGGGTAGGGGAGTGATCATGCCTTCTTCAGAGGACTATATCTGAATTGGGCATGTGTATATTAAGAAAGCCCCAGGTAAGATCTATAAAAGCTCCGGGGTATCCATGAGCTCAACTTGCCTACACCTGCTCCAGAGAGAATCATTGTTTTAGAACAGTGGTTCTCAACCGGTGGGTCAAGACCCCTAGGAGCTGTATTAAAGGGCTACGGCATTAGGAAGGTTTAGAACCACTGTTTCAGAAGAAAATCCAGCAATAAAATATAGACCTAAAAACTCCTAATTCTGAAAAATATTTACACTTATTTTTGTGTTCTCATTTTTATATATCAACTATGTTTCCCCAGACATTTAACCAACTAGTTTATATATCTGGGTCCTTATTTTTATATATATATATATACACACACACACACACACACACACACACACATCACCAAATTTAATCACAAGTGGTATTTTTTGCTTTTCTTCAGGTCAGCGTACAGTATGCCTTGCTTTACAATGACCTATATATAGAAATACCCATAAGATATAGAAATGTGGGAGTTGGGCCCAGTGGTTCATGTCTGTAATTCCAGCACTTTGGGAGGTTGAGGCAAGAGGATTACTTGAGGACAGGAGTTCAAGGTTGGCCTAGGCAACACAGCCAGGCCTGGTGGGATGTGCCTGTAGTTCCAACTACCCCCAGCTACTTGGGAGGCTAAAGTGGACCTATCACTTGAGCCTAGGAGTTCAAAGTTACTGTGAGCTATGATTGCACCGACTCCAGCATGGGTGCAATCTCAAAAAAAAAAAAAAAAAAAAACATACATATATAAATAAACATACATATATAAACACACATAAACACACATAAACACACATAAACACACATAAACAACATATATAAAAAAACATACATATATTAAAAAAATACATATATATATATGTATCTTTTTAAAAAAAAGATGAATTCATAAATTCATCAGATTAATCAGAGCCACATTTTGAAGGCAAAAAGGCACTTGGTATATATTTATTAAATTCTAAGATACTCTCAGACCATGTGATTGGATAGAGGCAAGCACTGGACTTTGGATCTTAGATTCAGCTACAAGTGGTAGCTGTACTATGCTGAGCCTCAAAGGCCTCACCTGTAATAAAATGAGACTAACACTTGCCCATCTTGATTGGCTAACTTGTTTCCCCTCTCCTTTGCCATCTTCCACTATGGGAGCTGGGTGCTCACTATACTGGACTTCCCTGCAGGTAAGAGTGATCAGGTGACCCCACTTTGATCAATGAATACACAGAGAAATCTGATGGGAAGCTTCTGGGAATACTTTTGTTTTATCTATGAAAAGGACAGTTGTGACTAGCATCATCCTTTCTCCCTATTTGTCCTGATTTCAAATGTAATGCCTAGGACTAAGCAGCCACCTCTAGAGAAGGCAATTAAATAGGATCAAGAATAAGCCCACATGCCAAAGTTGAAAAGACAAAAAAAATTATGACGAAGTAAAAAGTCAGAAAAACCTCAAGTTCTTGATGATACAGGAAGAGTTGAGTTGCAAGATCAATACCAGCAACTGCTTAACTGCAGTCTTCTTATTAAAGGAGATTATTAAACCCTATTTGTTTAAGCCATTGTTAGTTGAGTTTTTGATTGCTGGTAGTAAATTCATTCCTGATCCCAGTAAAATGTTTACTGTGAGAATCAAATGAAATGGTCTAAGAATTTTGTAAACTGTTAAAAACCTTACACAGGTACAAGAAAACCAAGTAGTACTCATAGTATACAAAGTTCCTTCACAGACTTTATATGCGTGGTGGTTGAATAAAAATCTATTATCCATGTGTTGCATTAAGAACACAAGAGAGGGGAGTGCCTGTGGCTCAGTGAGTAGGGCACCAGCCCCACATACCAGAGGTGGGTGGGTTCAAACCTGGCCCCAGCCAGCCCTGGCCAAAAACTGTAAAAAAAAAAAAAAAAAAAAGAAGAACACAAGAGAGGTGTCAATGAAATAAATCAATTTTGTTGTACCTATAATAACAATGTACTTAGCTCTTCCTTGGTCTCGTCTTAGAATGTACCTAAAAAAGAGGTTGTGTGAACCCTAGAGTAAAGCCTAAGATCATAGGAAATAATATATAGTAAAATGGAAAAACAATACATTATTCCACAAAGTTATATTTCAGAATACAATGATTGAGTCTTTGCCTAAAATTCATCCTTTAACATTGATGCCTGCCATTAGTGCCATAGTTTGCTTCGGGCAGTCCTAAAATCTTTGGGAGCACTTGGATCAATGTTTCCAGTGACATAAAAGAGATGAAGACCTTTTTCACTGGCCACTGGTATCAACAGAAATCATTTTATTGAAATCATATATAGCTGTGAACATCTTTAACAATGTGCACAAATGAACACCATGAAGACAATTCCAGAAACAGATGGTTTAACCTCAAAAGCAAAAGAATTAGAGGAGTCTTTAGTTAATTGGAAGGTCATTGTTAGAAAGTAAAATGGAAGCACAGTGGTTTCCAAATGAGGACTT